TCCATCGTGTTAATGTACACAGGACAAGAGCCTACCACAGAGGGCCTTTGAAAGATTCTACCCAGCAAGGTAGCAAACCAGATGCTGAGGCTCATAGCAAAGCTTTGGGCAGAGTGCAGGGAATCTTATGAAAGAAGAAAGACCTGGAGGAGACAGGAGCTCCACAAGGAGAGCAATAGAACCAAGAAATCTGGGTCCAAGAGTCTTTTCTGAGACTAATACTCCAACCAAGGACCATTCATGGAGATAACCTAAAACCACTGCACAGATGTAGCCTATGGAAACTTAGTCTCCAAGTGGGTTTCCTAATAAGGGGAACAGGGACTGTCTCTGACATGAACTCAGTGGCTGCCTCTTTGATCACCTCCCCCTGATGGGGGAGCAGCCTAGCCTTACCAGGCCACAGAGGAAGACAATGCAGCCAGTCCTGATGAGACTTGATAGGCTAGGATCAGAGGGAAAGGAAGGAGGACTGACCAGTATCTGTGGACTTCAGGAGGGTCATCGGAGGAGATGAAGAGGGATTGGGAGGGGATGACTAAGGGGGCTACAGATGAGATACAAAGTGAATAAACTGTAATTTATAAAAAATTTAATAAAAAAAGAAAAACAAACAAACAAAATAACAGTCTGGGGCCTGCAGTGACGGACATGGATGAGCACGTCCCCAGTGACTTCACATCTTATTAGGGTTACTTTTTCTTGCTAACTGATCCTGCATATATGCTAAGTCCCCTTTTATTTCTTTAAGAGGACCCAGTCCTTCCATCCAAAGGAAAACAGACTGTGCTTCGCAGGCCAGTGAGGCTGTGACCAAGGCCTGAAACATTTGGAGAACATTTTCTGATTGAGTGGAAAGAACCGATTTGAGTTGCCAGTTATTTCTTCCAGAGAAACAAAACAAAACAAAAACAACTAGTGTGTATATGTGGAAAAGGGCAACTTTTTTCGTTTGTTTGTTTGTTCGTTGATTTGCTTGTGATAGATTTCCTAATTAGAGGAAGTGAGCATGAGCTCATGGTGTAAGACCTGTTATCTAAAAGTCAGAGAGTCGGGAGAAGGTGTATATGGTTACAGATCCACAGAGCAGCAGCAAAATTACTTTGTCTCCAGATTACCATTTCAATGCCTAAAGAGAGGGGCTGGCAAGATGGTCCAGTGGACAAAGGTGCTTGCCATCAAGCCTGATGAGTTAGGCTCCTGAGAACAACGTGGTGGGAAGAGAAGACTGACTCCCACCCAATCAGAATTCTGTAGGAGTCCTTAACAAGTGTTGTCTCTGGATGTGTGTGCATATTTGTGCATGAATATATACACCCAGACTTATGTGTATATAAAGGATACATAGATGTGTAAGTGGACGCACATACAAACACCCGTTCTTTACCTGTGTAACACACAGAGAGTAGCAGAGAGAGAAAGAGAAGCTGTGTGGTACTCATCAAAGCCAGTCCTGTCCTTTAGAAAGACAAATTAGTGAGAAATGAAACCATCAGATCAGTTCTCCTCCCACAGGGAGATCAGGCCAGCCTGAGATCCTGAGCATAAATGCTTCTGGCCTTTTCCAGCAGGCATAATACCAAGGTGGGGTCTCAAGAGATAAGCATGGTTTAGGGGTAGTTAACTATTTTCTTAGCCTCCGAATAACTGTGGCCACATCTCAGGAAGAAAAATGTGACCTATTTTACCTGTTAATTTTATTTTTTTTTAGAGCTGGAAAACTCCCTCCCCGAAACACAGGAGTTACAGTGCCTAAAGGGAAGAACCCCCTTTTTTTGTCATCGTTAGGAGTTTGGGATTCTAATGACAATCTGATGGTGATGGAGCCTCTAGATTCTTGAGGGTGTGTGCATATTCTTCTACTATCTTCAAGTGCACATGCAAAATAAAATAAAATAAAATAAAATAAAATAAAATAAAATAAAATAAAATAAAATAAAATAAAATAAAATAAAATAAAATAAAATAAAATAAAATAAAACCCAGCAGAATTCCACCCTATTTCCCACTACCCTGCTTGGATAAGCACCACAGTTCTTCATGCAGCTCATCCTTTCAATGTCATCACGCTTGCATTTACTTTTATTCAGCAGAAAGCTTTGGGCCTTGATTTTGTATCTTGCTCTGTGCCTGATACCACAGAAGCAAAGATTTCAATTTATTTTAATCCATCCTATTGCAAGAAGGCTTTGCCTATGCAAACTCAAAGATTTCTGCCCTGTTTCTTCTCATGTGTCTTCCACTTCTTTATCAGATAATTATCTCTCTCTGTGTCTCTGGTGTGTGTGTGCGTGTGTGTGTGTGTGTGTGTGTGTGTGTGTGTGTGTGTGTGTGTATGTGTGCACATGAGAGAGAGAGGAGAGAGAGAGAGAATGGTATATGCGTGTGTGGTACAAGTGTGCAGTGTTCATGCTCATACATGACCATGGAAAGGGAAGAAAAGGACATTGGGTTCTCTCTCTACTGCTGTCCACCTCTCAGCCCTGGAGAAGGTCTCTCCAAGCTGGAAACTCATATTGTGTGCTGGGCGGCAGGTCTCGGAGCTCTTGGGATCCACCTGTCTCTGTCTGCCAATGCTGGAAGCTATAGGTACGCACAGCAATGTCTGGCTTTTTACATGGTGCCAGAGATTCAAAATCAGGTCCTCGTGCTTGCAGAGCAAGCTCTCTTACCCACTAAAATCTTCCCAACAAATGTTTAAAATTCGTCTCTTATTAGTAAAAGGTCCAGTCCTTGGGTAGAAATATTTCACTGTACTCAGTGCCAAAAACAAAACCCACAAGCCCCTTGAATCAGCTGATGTGACAGCTGTCCATCTGTTGTCGTGTCATCAGCTACAGATTCCAGTGGGGCTGCCTATGTCACCCTCAGCTCAGGCTCGGAGCCTGTGAGAACACAGAAAGGAGGGCTCATGTTCCGGCAGCAGTGAAAAATGCACTAATATCCCCAGGGAGACCCAGGAAACAAAGACTATGCATGAAAATAGTCGGAGAGGTTGAAATTCTGATATAAGTTATTGAAGGGAGTTTTTAAACTGTACGACACAGGAATGTAGGCATCTGGCTTCATGGATTTAAGGCAGAAGCTGGCTAAGCTGCAGCTCCCTTCTCATGCTTTCTTTAATTCTGTAAACACAGCTCTCTTTAGATGGTGTGTGTCTGACCTACTCAAACAACAGCATGCACAGTGCCTCAGAGTCAAACCTCGAGTCTCCAGTTCCAGACACTGTATTTATAAAACAGAAAGAGTTTGCCTGGTGTTTTGATCTTGGAGATGCTTGAGACTATTTCTTAAGAGAAAATGTTCAATAGGAATTATTGTATCTTAGGTTGACTTAGGTCCCCAAGCAGTCATTAAACCAGGGATTAGAAGACAAATTGTGTATTTGATAAATTAGCCTGCGAAATATTGTTGAAGGAAGGATGAAGGAAGACTAAAAGAGGATGAAGGCTCAGCTGCATTTCTATTGGTTGGTGCCAGCTCCCAGCCTTAAGTGGTTAGGGCTGTTCCCAGGAGTAACCCTGCGAGCAAGTACCAGGTAGAAAGATGGCTGACGAGACAGCACAGCACAAGAGTCATTTTGCTGTGAAATCCCATCACACCAACTTAGTTGCTCTGTCATCCTCCATACAGCTCTGCAAACTAAGATTCTGCTTCTTTCTCTTTTAAGAATACTTATCCTTTCCTTTACAGAATTCACCAGTTATAGTTTGAACTGTGTATGTTTCCTTCTCCATCCCTAATTCCTCCCAAGTCTGTACACTCTGTACACTCTGTAGGCAGGATCACTTTTAATGTGTATTTCCATCAAGAATTACCACTGTAAATTAGATAGAGACAAACAAGCCGCTTTCCCTGCAGGCAAATTGCTGAGACAGTTGCTGCCCCTCAAAGAGCCCAAGGCTTCACTATTGCTGTCACTGGGATGCAGCTCTGACCTGGTTATGTGACTGTTAGTAAGTCTGTAATCTAGTCTTCTCAACCTTCAGTTTCCCTGTGAGTTGCACAGCTGATAAACTTGTGAATTTCCTCATAGAAGTCAAAGGAATCACTGGAAATAATTTTTGATAACATAGCGTGTTTGTCTGTGTGCTATTTATTATTATTATTGTTAACTAAGATCCTCAGGATGACACTTCAGTTGTTTGCTAGGTTGTGGGATACTGTGCCAAAAGAATACTCACTGGCTTCACTCTCTGGAAAGAGGGAATGGTGGCCTCAGAATGACACAGAATGACACAGGCAATGACCCTTGCTTCCTAGAGTTGTCCTTGGTAAGAGAGAAAGAAGGCGGCATATGTAATGGGCCAGGCTTACCTGGCCTTTTATCAGCCCTCAACTTGTACTATTTCCCTTTGCCTTTTCGTGGGTCATCTGCCTTGAATCTAGAGAATGGGAAAACCGATGCCGTGGTGAACCCTAAAGTGTGTCTGAAACACTGACCTAGGGGCAGAAGGCGTTTGGAAGCCAGCTACTCATCTGCTGTGTTGTTACACCGAAGCTCCACACTCTTCCAAACCGTCTACGAGCAGTGTGGATTCCTCCTCTGTTTCTGTGGCTGTCACTCTATGGCCAGCACTCAGGGACAGTCCACGTGCTGCTTCGGACTTTGAGCTTAGTGCGGATAAAGCTGAGCCATCCTTATCAGAAACACTGGAGTCCAGAAATGTTTAGGATTCTGCTTATTTTCTTTTCAGGTTGTGGAACTTGTGCATGCACGTAGTGACAGATCTTAAAGATGAGACCCAAACATAAACACAAAATTCATTTACATTTTATACAGACCTTTTGTACAGAGCTTGCAAGTAATTTTATACAAAACTTTTAGGCATTTTGTTCATGAAACGAAGTTTTCTGGTGTGGAGATTTCCCACTTGTAGCATCGTGTCTGTGCTCAGAAAGATTCAGACTGGCGGGGGGGGGCATTTCTGATCTGGGGTTTCAGGTTGATTACTTCAATAGAATGTATGCTTGTATTTTGATTTTGTCTTCTTTTAAAGATTTGCTTGTAGGGGCGTTTGGAAAAGGGAAAGTGGCTGTCTACAGGTACGTGGTCTCTGGTATGCTTTTGCATTTTCCTTATATTGTTAGTTTTGCTTAAGAATACAAAGACCTATCCCACTTGTTTATTCTGGAGAGTGTTCCTGTGTCCTTTTAGAACCCTGGCTGCATTTTCCCATCTGTTTTTAACCTGCCTCTCATTTTTATGTGTTTTTATTCTCCTGCTTTAAGAGCAAACCTCAAGCTCCTACCAATATAACTAATATTAAACAAGTCATTGAACTCATCAAATCAGAAAATGACCCATGATTTAGATGGATCTAAGCTTGGACTCTTGGCTTTGGGAATCATCAGTATCCATATTTGTAGGACAGAATTGTGATGGCCAAAATGTGACTATTTGCCCTCACTCCTATACCCAAGTATGCACAACAAGCTGGGGAATAAACGATGCCGGGGTCATCTCCTCCCTGCTGAAGCACTAAAGCAGCAGACATGGATTCAGAACCTGACTCTTCCACACACGAACTGTTTGTGTAATTTCGGGGACAACTCCAGTGACCTTCGAGCCTCTGGTTCTCATCTGTAAACAGGACCGTCAACACTTACCTATGACAATACTTCTGTTCAAAGGAGAATATGAATGCACATTATACTGAGTAATCACTGGGTACACAGCTGGGCTTTTTTAAAATGTTTAATAGGAATCCAAGAAACTAGGTCCGAATTTCAAGGCAAGGTCAGGTGTGAGTGCACGGATAGAGACCTGTGTGTGCAGGTGTTCTAGGCATGTGACACTAGGATAGTTAACTACTAGAGAGATCCTAAGGTGAACTTTCCTCAAATCAGTCAGCCTTTCTTCCTCAACCCAATATAAATACATCACGGTCTGATTGTGTCAGCCTTTCTCACTTCAGATACAGAGAATCAGAGAGCTGAAACTCCTAGCAGCTCTAAAGTATGAGGCTTAGGATTCTTATGGCCGTAAACTGACAAAGCCCAGAACCCTGGCTCTGTCTGCCACACTCCAAATCCACCACAACCCCGTGACAATCCCGTATTTTCCATGAGCTGCTCCAACCTAATCCTGGCACAAGGACATAAGTGCTTGCCAGTCCTTGGAGACAGAGAAATCCTGTCACAGGCAACTCTGCCCAAAAAACCCCCAATGCCAATGTCAGGATGTTCTTCTCCACCCTTGAGGGGATTATTACCCCCACCTTCTTTCACTCGCTTTTCCTTTTTACTCAAATGCCATGGCCACAGCAAATCTCTTGCATGCCAATACCATTTTATCATCTGTTTTTTTCAATATAATACAATTTTGAAAATAAAATAATACAGTACACATAACATCAAGAGGCTTGCAAAAATTCCCAGCGGCCCCCTTGTTGCTATCATGAAATTGTTTGAAGTAGTGGCTTGCGCAGCATTTTGCTCCTAGGCATGGCCCTCCCTTCCTTCTGTCAAATAAAATCTATTCAACATGGCATCAGTGTGTCTCCAATGCCATTCCCATCAGTTTCTCTCCTCAGATACGACTATTAAACTCACCCGGAGAGTGTGTTTAAAATTCCAGCCCTGGCCCTTACCCCGGAAGTACCAGCTCTATGGACCCATGTTGATGTCTGAGCCTAGTGTTTGTTCGAAAGTTCCCAAAGTAGTTTCATTGTGCAGACAGGATTGAGAACCACTGCTCTGGGTGAAATACAGAATTGTTCTGTAAACTTTGTAAATCTACAAAGTTTAGCTAAAAAAATTGCTAATCAGGTTGAAAAATTATCAGTGAGCCAACAAAATTAAAAAGAAAAGAAAAATCTCATGTACTTATTATGAGTAGACATACCTTGGGGTTTGAGAGCGGCTCAGTGGTTAAGGGAGCTTGCTGCCCCTGCAGAAGACCTAGTTTGACTCCCATCTCCTGCGTGGTGTGGTCATAGTTACCTGTAATTCCAGCTCCAAGAACATCTGATGCCCTCTCTGGCTTCCACCATCACCAGCGTATGTACATACACACACAACACAGAAATAAACGTAAAATAATTCTTTAAGGAAGATACGTGTCTCTTAAAATGTGAACATAGGGCTCCAAGAAAATTATGGAGCTGTGCTATAATCACACTATGTTATCACGATATGGGAGTCCAGTCAGTAAAGAAATCAGGCCAATGGACGTAACGTGCTCGGCAGTCCTCCAGCATTCCTTGTTCAGAGTTCTCTGCCCTCAGACAGTTTAGAGGACACCAGCTGAACGTGATGCCCACTTCTTGATGACGTGAGCAGACTCCGTTGTGCAAGGCTGGGCACGTTGACGATGGCTTCTAGAAAAAGAGTTCCTTTAGTCGGGTAAAGACCTGCTGTGATTCACGAGTCCCACCCATGCCCTGGCTTTCTCCCTACAGAGCGAGGCCAGTTGTAACAGTGGATGCCCAACTTCGGCTGCACCCGGTGATTATCAACCTGGAAAATAAAACTTGCCAGATTCCAGAGTTCCCGACACCCGTGGCCTGGTAAGTTAGCCAGCGCTATACATGCATTCAAATAGCTTAGGATCTTATTTTTAGAACAAGTAAATGAATAGATAAATGGATAAATAAATACAGATTTGGGTGCAGAAATCTGGGGTAGGGCCTGAGAACGTGCACACTGCATTTCTAGAAAGATCTTCAAGAGGATGTTGAGACTTCTGGACTACAGACCAAGACTGGGTGGCAAAGACTGAGAGGAACACTGTGATGACTGTGGGCTTGCACAAAGGTCACTACTCCAGCCTACAGACTTCTAGATAAGAAGACCAAAACATTTTTGAAAATCCCAGTTAAATAAACTTTTTCATGGCACACTAAATGTTGACCACACCCAAAACACACCAAAATACCTTGCCTCTTACTTTTGCACATATTATGGATACCGTTTTTTAGATCTATTGTGTTTCTCTTTTTAAAAATAAATAAACTAGTCAGGATTACTTAGTTTCATGTGCTTAAAATAGCAGTTTTATAACTTGGCATGTACGACTAGACAGAAGGTCAATGTTATGAAAAAGATTTTTGTACTCTGACCTGCTCTGTGGCAATGATATTATGAGCATAAAAGGGACAAAAGGAAAGCATGGCTGACCCAGCTTTTGAATTACCCCTGTCACCTGAAATGACAAAGTGAAACTGGATTATAATACATCCCAAGAAAAAAAATATCAGCTTGTTTGTTAGTGTGGGATCCCCAGACATCAAAAGACGTTGCGTTGGCCCATGATATCAGGGCATTTCCTCTGGAAAAGCCACAAAGATTTTGAGGTTCACCCCCATTTTCCAGGGTGAATGTTCAGGTATTATGTTCAGTTCTTGAAAATATCAGAATAATAATAATAATAATAATAATAATAATAATAATAATAATAATAAAGCCATCATTGACCCTGAGAAGCTATTTCCAGCCCATTGTAGCATGTTGCTGAGGGCCTTTTGACAGGAGTTTCTATGAGAGTCAAAGTTTTGGGAGATGGAGAATAGAGAGTTCCAGGATCCTGAGGAATTCTTCGGAAAACATCCTGCTGTGAGGGGTTCCTGGGGTGGGAAGGCCAGTCCTTTCCTTTAACTGCCTTTGAAAGTAGTTGGGAAATGCCCTGAGCACATTTTAAAACAGTTTTAAACCATAAAATAGTATAATGAAAACCTGATCTGAGAGAATACGTGAAAGAGCCAGCATTTTCCTATTGCCTGGTGTGATTAAATGAACACTAAATGAACTGTGAGGGCTACTTGGCTGTAAGCATTAAGACTCTAATGTTCTCCAAGGAGCTCTCTGTTCACACCTCCAAAATCCTCAGTTTCCACACTGCATTCTTTTAAACATGATGGCAACAGTCCAGTATAGAATGTGTTTATTTTGAAATAAATTATTTTCTTCCTTAGAGTTTTGTTTTGTGGATTTAAAAAAGAGATTGGAATCTTTTTCAAACAATATAGAGCTTTTTACTTCTGTTCAGGGAGAAAATATTTTATTATTAGTCTTTAAAAACTGTCATGCGTGTATAGAATGTATTTTGACCATATCCACCCCTCAATGCACTCCCAGTTTCCTCCAGGGCTCTCACCGTCTCTCCCTCAAAATTTCATGCACTTCGCTTGTAGTTCTTTATTTAATCACAGAGTCAGTGAGTGCTGCTGTGTATGCATGGGCATGGAATATGTGGTCTGCTAGGACCCTGGCAACCCACCCGTGCTCACACTGCTGAGGACAAGCTAGCTCACCCCCAGCTGCCATCAACTGCCAACAGCCCCTCGGCTAGTGCCTTTCTTTTCAGCAGCCATTTTCTTGTCCTCTGGAGTCAAGCTACTAAGATAAAATGTCATTTGCTCTGTGGACAATTATACTACTTATTTAATCCTACCACATTACTGTTACTTAATCCTGTTGTACCTGTTGTACTTAATTTTCAAGTGCAAAAGTTTTTGTACATTTCAGAATATTGAGACAGAAAGTTGGGGGTTGAGGGTGTATCTCAGTGGTAGAGTTCCCTGGCTTCTATTCTCAGGACCACAAAGCAACCAACCAGACAGAAGACAGAAATCAGACAGCTGACTCGTGTCAAATGCTCTGTGCATAATTTACCCAAAGTGCTTGAACGGCATCTTTGCTCTAACTCTGGCCTGATTTGACATCAGCTTGTACTGTAGATGAACCCCTTTGCAAACTCCACTCACAAATCACTCCTCACTTCCTTCCATGTGGATTTCTGTGTCATTCAGTCAACTGTCCGGTTTTATAAAATATCTGCTGTAGGCATTGCTCCATTAGGAAGGAGGAAGCGAAGTTCAGTGTAATAAATATTAAGCTAATTGGATACTAGTGAGAAAAACTGTATTTTATGTTTTATTAACATAAAACAAACTACTTCTTCAATCTAAAAAAAAAGGAGATTTTCAGATATGAATGACATTATGTAAAGTCAGAAACTTTTCAAAGTTAAAGTGGAGTTGAATTGCTAATAATTGGACCAATGAGGTGGCTCAAATAGTAAAGGCACTTGCCACACATGCTGTGGGACGTGAGTTCATTGCCCAGAGCCTGAGTAAAGGTAGAAGGAAAAGCACCTTTACCCTGTCCTCTGATCTCCAAACGAGCACCGTGGGATGTGTGCCCCGCAATACATACACGTCAAGTACGTATCTGCACAGTAGTAAATGAATTAGAATTAGTGCTTGTTTGCTTTGAACTTCCGTCCTCATTTATTGTGCATGTGCGTGCTGTTGGTGTGGTGTCTGTATTGCTAGCAGTGTGCACCTATGCACCTGGGTGTGCACAGCCGTGTGGAGGCCACAGGTTGGCATCAGGTGTCTGTCCCCATCTTAGTTCTGAGACAGGGTCTCTCCGTGAGCCTCGAGCTCCTCAGTTAGGCTACCCTGGTGGGCCATACGCCCTCCAACAGTGGATCTCAGCCTTCCTAACGCTGCGACACTTTAATATGGTTCCTTGTGATAACATTGTTTTGGTTGCTACTTTATAATTTCATCATAAATCTTATATAATTTGATTACGTAACGTAGATATCTAATATGCAGGATATCCGATATGTGAGCCCTGTGAAAGGACCATCTGACCCCCAAAGGGGCCGCCACCCGCACATTGAGAACCACTGCCCTGGAGTCACGTGTCTCTGCACCTCTTCCTGGCTCCAGCCCCAGCACTGGCGTGGCTGCTGTTGGGCCTCCGGGTTTCATCTGGGGGCCGGTGTCCAAACCCTGAGTCTCATACTTCCGCAGCAAGCCCTGGACCAACTGAGCATCAGCCCCCACATCTGGCTTTGTAGTTTGAAATCACGTTTCGCATGTCTCTCATTTTCCCTTCATACCTAACCATGAGCAGACTTCACCACGAGCTCATTGTTCACTGGCTCAGGAAGGGCAAATAGCATGAGGGTCCTGTCGTGGCCACCCCGCCAGCCTGTCTGCCAATAGTCTCGTTCACATGTGCACAGTGAGAGCATGTAGTTGAAGTCATGTAGTTCCTGTTTGGCTTTGCTTTATTTCTCTAATCAAAAATCCTTAGGCTAATGGGCTTTGCTGAATCTGAACATAAACCATGGCTTGACAGTATATTTCAAATTAACTCATATTTCACAGCTTTGCCTGACACAATTCATAATTATGTATCAACCTGAGAATGAATCTGGTTCTTTGGTATCAAACTCATGGTGAATCTGTAGTCACAGATAATAAATTTTTTTCTGTATTTAGAATGAATATGATCATCCTTGACTGTACAATTCTGAAATTTTCATTTTAGTGTAGGACAGAATTATGAAAAAGCTGCCACCTTGAACAGACCTTTCATCTGGAGCCATCTTTCGCCTGCTGGGTTCAGGTTGAAATGATACCATCAACCATTGAGCAGGCTATAGCAGTTATATTAAATTTGAATGGAAAGAGTTAGTATCCAACTATTAATGATGTTGAAGTAACAGAAAGGGGAAACTAAGGAAGAAGTACAGATGTACTCTGACATAATTCATACACTTAGATTAAACCCTTTAGCTGACAGCATTCACCAGATCCCCTCTTACTAAAGATAATGCCCATTTCACAGCTGTAACTGACTCCATTATAAAAGTATATTGCTTCATATTGTGTAAGCATTAACTTATCTAAATCCATTTTAATTTCATATACTGATGATTTCATCACAAATGTGAATTTATTTTGCCAAAGCTTTGTCTCTGCCGAGGAATCACGGGAAAGACACGGGGAGTAGACCATGTGACACATGCCAAGTGCTTATGGAAAAGCTGGGCACGAGGAAAAAACTAATCCAGTTTGGAAGCCAGAACTGCCAGCAAATGAAAAGATTTGATTACCTACCCACCTTCCGTGAATAATTCTAATTGAAGGAGAAGTGGGCTTGAGTTTGTGCTTTCTCTGGGGAAATGGTGTAAACACTTGTAATAGCACAGACATCTCAGGAAACTTTTGACTAAACGGTGTGTGGCGAATTACTTGCCCTGAAGGGAGACACTGAGGTCACGGACATAGATGAATCCCAGATGTGACACATTTTTGTTACGTTTGACACAGGAAGCTGACATCCAACTTAAGCATGATTGGAGAGCATTTGCTTCTTTTGAATCCCATAGAAATACTCAAATCATACTAGCTTTTTTTTTTTTTTTTTTTTTTAGTAAGAAATGTTAAGACTTCCACTAAGTTACCTATTCTCTTACATCTCTACCTTCTTAGCAATGTTCACAGCCCCTGTCTGCTTCCTGGCTGGTAGACTATTTCAGGGGGAAGGGGAGAATATTCAGTACCAGCAGGCGGAGACAAGTGGGTATCTCTCATTCAGTCTCTGGCCACAGACCAGCAGAAGTTCAGGTCATGAGGCAGTCCACAAACATTTCTTAGATGGCGGTTAATGCATGTTGAAGGCAAACTTACAGGGTCTTCCACTCAATTGTCACTGCCTTTTTATCCACATCATTGTGAACAGCTAGTTCACAATGAGTGAGATGGTTTACCTTTCTCTTTCTCCCCTCCTCCACTTTCCCTCCACCTCCATCACTACCTCACTGCTTTCAAGGCACCAAGTTCCAGTCTCTTCCCAGCAGAGTGGCTGATTGATATTAAGACCAGCATGCAGCACCATGCTTGAGATTAAATTCATGTGCCTTACCATTACTTCAAAGCCCTGTTCCGCACTCATCAACCAAACCTGCCAACCTCCTCATCCAGCTGGGAGCTCTAACCACACTGAAAATCTTCCAGTGCCTCAAGTGGAGCTATGTCTTTGCTGTACTCTAGGCTCTTCCATCGCATTTCTCCCACAGTGTTGCCCAGTCCTTTGCTCCATGGCACAATGAGGATATTCATATGCCTTTATTGCATAAAGACAAGTGGGGTATTGATTAATCAACTGATTAAATCTCTAGTAATATTTTCAAGTATTTGTTTTCCTATTCAAGGCTACTTGCGTCTATTATATTAGTATTGTGTGGAGCTGGTGAGAGAGAGGGAGAGAGTCTGTGTGTGTGTGTGTGTGTGTGTGTGTGTGTGTGTGTGTGCATGCACATGTGCATGTATGTCTAATTAATAGTATCGAGGGAGAACTTGTGTTCACCTTACCTGGAAGGAGGGGAAGGAAAAGTCCAATCTCGAATTCAAAACTTCACTCACCAATAACTTCTGACTCCTGTCTTCCCACAGCTTTTCTCTAGGAGTCTGTGCATCTGTATCAGGCCAGAGCATCTCAGACACAGTAGGTGAGCACATTTTCTTTTTACGCTATCCTATGTCTTTCTCTGCACAAACAATAGAAAACTAAAGAGCCCTTTATTAAGACTCAAATTTCTATTGTACATTTTAAATTAATACTACTTCTAATTAATACTACTTCATGAGTATTAGCTACCAAAAACATAATTGTTGGGAAAGTGGCATGTTGTATTTTTTTTTAAAAAAACGTTACAAAACACGGGCTGGGGAGATCGCTCCATTGTACAGTGCTTGCTATACAAGCCTGAGGATCTAGATTTAAATCTTCAGTACTATATAAAAGCCAAATGTGGCAGATGCATCTGTAATCCCAGTGCTGGAGAGTTAGGAAGAGGCACTCCCCAGACCTCACTGGCCAGTCACCCTAGCCAAACATGTTCTCAAAACATAAGTGTGGGGGAGAATCAAGTAAGACACCCAGTCTCAACCTCTGGCTTCCACACATACCACACACACCACATACACCACACACACACACAAACACACACACACACACACACACACACACACACCACACACACCACACACCACACACCACACACCACACACACACACACACACATACACACACACGTGCACACACACACACGCACATACACCACACCACACATGCATGCAAACCACAAAACAATTAGATGCTGGGCGGCATTTATTTTAATATACCAGCTTATTGTTGTTTGATCCAACTATGAAAGTTTTCCTGAATAAGCATCTTGAAATGAGTCCCTTCCCCTGACAGCACTGCGTTTGCCCAATGCTTTTTCTCCCGTGACTTTGTTTACCCTGTCTGTCCTTCAGCCCTGATCGCTGAGGTGCAGTTAGATTTCCTGAAGCAAAAAGGAGCCATCAAGCGGACGCTCTTCCTCCACAACCATCAGCCCCATCTCACCTTCCCCTTTGTGATAAAGCAGCAGAAATCGCTCCACTGCCAGGATTTTCTGGTTTACCTTCGAGTAAGTTTTCTAGAAATCACCCCTGGGGTGTCTCTCATTCAAATCCAAATTCCAACGGTTTCTGTCTAGTTAACCACCATGATCGCCACACATCCCCGCCTGTCTACTTTTATTTCCTTGGGAGGAGACTCTAGCTTAAGGTGGAATACTTTCTTGCTGACCCTGGCTTTAACTAACCCAGTGATTTGTTGCTCTTGATTTCTAAGGCTTCTTTCTTGTCCTGGACAAAATCTTGATAAGAACCCTTCACGCAGGTGCTTCTAATTATTAGCTGCCCCCCCTTCCCTCAGACATGAAAGTTCAGCACAACTTATTTGATATTTTTTTATCCTATACATGTCCTGTTAGATCTTATCAGGATACATTTAGAGGCGGCCTAGGAAAGCATTTAGACAACCAAATTTTCATTAAAAATAATTTGTAAGCATGCTGATAAAGGTGATGTGGTTTTACAAATCCTCATGAAATTTAAAATTCAAAATATCCGGAACCCCATTATCCACTGGTCAAGCTGCCAGTTGTTAGGCAGTGATCAATAGTCCCGTTTTTCTCTCTTCCTGTCAGGGACTTGGTGAGCAGGAAGAATCCTAGTAAGGACCAATAGTTCACAACTACAATTGAGAATGAGAAACCAGGCACAGGACACCCCTCTCCCCAACTTGTATGACCTCGGCTAGCACAGCTGAAGGGCGGCATGCTTAATGCTTAGCGCTTGCTGCTGTGTCCTCACCGCAGGAGGACTTCTGTTTCTTTATCTGAGGAATCTTCAAATGTGCTGAAGGTATTCTGAAGTTCATTAAAGAACTTAAAAAATAAAAAAAAAGGGGGAAAGATGCTTTCTTTCACTGCGCCCAAGAGAACCTTCTGGCAACTTCATCAAAACCAAAAAAAATCTTGCTTCACGAAGTTCTCTGGCATGGAATGTATATGAACATGATGTTTTACTTGATGGCCGAGTCAGTGTCAGGCACTGCAGGTCTGGGCCACCTCTAGAGCAGCAGCTCTCAACCTTCCTAGTGCCGTGACCCTTCCTCGAATCGTGGTGACTATTTAAGTTGCTCCTTCATAACTGTAATTTTGCTGCTGCTATGAGACATCAGGTAAATATCTGCTGTGTGACCCCTGTGAAAGGGTCATCCCACCCACTGAAGGTGTTGTGACAACAGGTTGGAAACTGCTGTTCTAGAGTATCCCAGGGAAGCCGTGGCTTCATCACTAGACATCCTTTATTCACGCCCGCTACCGCGAACCACCTCAGCAGCCGGTTCAGCCTGTGGCAGTGAACGCTGTCATTCCCTAGCATTGATGAGAGTCCGGTGCAGCCTGTTCGTCACAGACTAACATCTTGTACTCATCTCATGGGCCTGAGTTGGTGTTCTTCTCCCCTGTAGGATGAAACTGAATTCCGAGATAAATTATCTCCAATCAACATTAGCCTGAACTACAGTTTGGATGATTCCACCTTTAAAGATGGCCTGGAAGTGAAGCCAATTTTGAACCACTACAAGGACAATGTAGTCACTGAGCAGGTATGTCCGTGATGCCAACGTCTGAAGGCATTTTCTCTCCCGTTCTCTGGAGAGAGTTGTTCTTGTGACCTGGAGATGAAAGCCAGCCCTTTTTATTTCCATCTGTGCACAGAGGTAGACAGCAGTAGGAGTATGTTCCTAACCTGCTTCCTCATTGGACTTTTGGAAGCCTTTCTCCCCTTATGCAACTAGGATTTAATTTGTTCAAATGTAGCAGCAAAGGAAGCAATGCAGGCAGTAATTCTCACAGCGGTGCCAGCTAGCATCATCTGCAGACATTTCAGAGCAAACTGGGAATGGGCCATAAAATAAGCCTCTGTCACTCTATGTCACATTATACGGCTTTGGGTAGACTCCTGTGCAGTGGAAAACAAAAGCATCAGTTTAGTCGACAGAACCCTTTAGAATCCTCAAGAGGAAGGATGTGACCTGGGCTTTCTCAAATTCTCTCTGATTCCCTTGCTCGACACAGGCTCGAATCCTGGTGGACTGCGGAGAAGACAATCTGTGCGTTCCTGACCTGAGGCTGTCGGCGAGACCGTAAGTTTAAACAGACAAATGTGGACACCACGCCTGGTGGGCTGTGGGCGTTTACGGAAGGCATCCTTTGAGAAAGTATATTCTTCCAAGAAATGGACGGGGACACGGGCTGGGGTGGGGGTGATTCCTGAAATTCTTGAGTGTGGCCACGCTTTGGATTTGGCTCTGATCTGGTCAGTTCCCTGTCACTGGTGTCAACTGACACACCCTGAGGTCTTGCCTGGACCATTTCATCTTTCATCAAGAGTCTGGGGCAAAAGTGGTTTTTGTTGAACGTAAACTCATGTGTGGTGTGGCTCAGGTTACATTGACTTGCCTGAGTCAAGTGAGAAAGGCTTCAGTCCACACCTTAACCAAACTTGTTTTCACAGCACCCCATGACTTAAAGGCCTCCTTAAAACTGTCAAAACAAAATTAATTTTAATTTACTGGCGGGAGGACTTAAAAGGCACACCGGGAGGTCAAGCAGAAGGTGTCAGAAGTCAAATGAGAATCAAAGGTCTCCACAGTTGCCTGTAACGGTGCGCCCCGACTCTGGAGCCGGTCATTGCACTGCTGTGCTGTGGAAAGAAACAGGAGAACGGCATGAGGCAGCCCTGGTGGGAAAGCATGGCTCTACTTCTCTCACCCAGGAACCCCTGAGCTACCAGGGTTTGGAATCTGCGTGGCAATCTCTCCGGGGACCTGCCTCAATGTTCATAACTCACTAAGTGTCAAAAGCAATAGCTTTGAGGAGGGGTCAAAAGTGGAAATGGCACTTCTAAATATTGGTTTCATTTGGAGTTCAAAGTGAACTAAATTTGCTTAAAATACTTCAAAACCCTCCATCGGCCATTTGAGATTCTGTTCCGCCTGCCTGCTTTTCCTTCTTCGCATCCACATTCCTGTGAGCCCTTCCTCTATTGCTGTCTAAAGGAGCCCTCTTTCTCTCCCTGCAGCTCCCTCTCTCCTTAATGGGTGTTCTCAGTGATGTGAAGGGGCTGAGAGCTCTTCGCTCCGGCTCTGAAGTCAAATGCTGTTTGCAGGGATTTTGTTAGCCGAGTTCTCACTCTGCTGATGGCTTCAGACTGGCCGCAGTGGGAAGACACAACACTGCAATCCACAATGATGATATGTATCAGTTTTATTTTTTAGAACAAATTGTTAAATAGTTGCTTGCACAACGGCAACATTTTCCCACCTTCCCCACTCAGAACTTGCTCTCTTAAATCTTCCTACAAGCCTTTCATGACCATCTGTCTTCTTTCTCAGTCCTAGCCTTGCATTTACCATTTTCCCTTTTTCTTTTCTGCCTACTCATTATTTTTCTTGGTTTGTTTGTTTCTTTGTTGTTGGTTTTTTTGTTGTTGTTGTTGTTTGTTTGTTTTAACACAGACCCTTGATATATAGTCCAATAGTCCAGGATGGTCTCAAATTTTCAATTCTCCTACCCTAGTCTCCTGAGTGCTTAGATTATAGGCACACATTATTTAAATTTCTTAAATAGAATATTCATGAATCCAGCGGTATGGAGTTCCATAATCATTCCTTTTAAACTGTGTTTTCAGAGATAAGCATCAGATAATTATTGGGGATGAAAACCACCTCATGCTTACAATAAATGCAAGAAACGAGGGGGAAGGAGCCTACGAAGCTGAACTCTCTGCTATGATCCCGGAAGAAGCACATTATGTTGGGATTGAGCGAAACAACAAGGTAAGTAAAAACTAAGCCTGATCAACAAGGCTGAGTCTTTCCTCCCAAAAGAGATGAGAAGGCAGATGAGCTGCCTTTCTTGTCAGCTCATAATAGCAATGAGCCAGGAGAAGATGGGCTATGAAGTATTTAAGTCTCTCTCTGCCATGGTACAAAGATAAATTGGCCAAAGACCAGGAAGGGAGCTGAAGCAAGGCAGAGAAAAGACCAGCCAAAAAGGCAGATGACTCATTTCTCAGACTAACCCCTCTCCTCATTGCCCTCGCAAGCCTTGTTTTGCGTTCCTTTAAGTTCCAAGAAGATCATAGGAGGCCTGGTTTTTATTACTGGTGATGGAAGAAGAGCCAACCAGAGCTGCTGAGCACTGATAACAGCCTGGACAGGAACTGCAAAGGAAACACATTTATTTGTCTTTCTTCGTAGTCCACATGTTTGCGACTGTGACCAGAGAAGGCTCTGTTTCTTCCTGGTGTGCCAATCTTCAATGTCACTCTTTACTGAAAAGATAACATTGCTACTTATGGCCTTCCAGATCATTACCAGAACATGATTCTTCCCATTCAGTCTGTCCCGGGAACCTGTAGTATTTTTAATCATAGTATCTGGAAAAAAATCATTCCAAATAGGCCAGTGTGGCATGCAAGTAATCCTAGCAGCCAGGAGACTGGGGAAAATGGATCGATGAGTTGAAGGTCTGCCTGAGCTTCATATCAAACTAACTAAAAAGACTGAAAACAAGCAAACAAAGAAAAACAACATTATAAATGCTTGGTAGATTGACAGTTTCTCCATTTCAGAAATATCTGAGACATTCAATTAAGAGCAGAGACTAACACTCACATTCTTTCACAGGAATAGGAATAGCTTAGGCACCTCATAAATGCTTGCTGATGGATTTATTTAACTAAAAATTATTATGTGTCTACCACTTTCTCAAGACCACATTTTCTAAGGGGCTTTCACAGTCTAATGACTGACTTATGTCATGGAAAATGACCCGTCTGATGTGGCGTTGTCTTTGTAAGAGCCTTTAAAAATGTGTAGAAAGAGCCTGGTATGAAGTCTATCCCTACAGTCCTAGCACTTGGAAGGGAAGAGGCAGGGTGATCACAAGCTCAAGGTTAGCCTATCCAGAGAAAGCTCTTGTGGAAAGAAAGAAGAAAAAGGAAGGAAGGAAGGAAGGAAGGAAGGAAGGAAGGAAGGAAGGAAGGAAGGAAGGAAGGAAGGAAGGAAAGAAAGTAGGAATAGAATTGGTGTGAAGGAGAAAGAAAGAGAGAGGAGGGAGGGAGGAAGAGAGGAAATGAATGAGTGAAAAAAGGAAAAAGTAAGGGGCAAATTTTTTTATTTATATTTTTAGTCTCATGCATTCTTGTTTTCTCAATTAAAAATTTAAAAAATGTTTTGATCCAAACAGCAATTGAGTATCTTTGACACTTAAAATCATTATTCATTTCTATTAAAGAAAGTGATTTTAAAATATATGCACTTATCAAGTTGTGTACCGAGACTTTTCCTGTCAATTACACCTCAATAAAGGGATTTAAAACAATGATGCAGAAATGTCCAAACCCATCCTCATCATTAGGGAGAAAAAGTTTCCCTGCTTTTCTGCAGTTGCTATGGCATTTTCCTCCTCTGCTGCAAGCATTAGCATTAGTTGATATTCCAATTTCTCCAAGGAATAATCTAAAATTCTCCCATTTCCTCCTTCCTTTAGTTATGGTCCTTTATACTTGTTTCTCTGTTAGGGTTATTTCAGTACATAGCAAACGGTGGGTAAGTACAACACTCACCCAACATCTCCATGGCAGGTTTTTCTACCAAAAATACTGTCTCATAGTAAAACCTGCAGCAAGAGGAACAAAAGAGATGGAGGATTGAAGGTGCTCAGTGGCTGAGAGCAGATGACCAGGATTTGCACCTCACGACCCCACGCAGCAGCTCACAGTCACTGGTAACGCCAGCTCCAGGTGATCTGACAGCCTCTCTGGCTGCCACACACAGGCCTACAAACACATGTGCTTGCACACACACACACATGAACACACAACTAAAAATAAGTCTATTAAAAGGAGACAGAAGGAAAACGCCACCTAAGATGCTTACATGCAAATGATATATAAGCATGTAACTTAAATGTGTAGTTTAAGAAAACATGTCTGGGTTACCCTCATATTTTTGTTTTCATTTCCCACACATCACCCTGGAGACCCCTGACATTTCTTTTAAACGTCTGTTTTAGAATGTTCTTTTAATAGAACATCCAGTTCACTGTTTACTTTGTGGCAACGGGAAACACCAGAGTCTTATCTCTGTATCTTTGGCTATAAACATTGTAAAGAACATTATCCACAAACTCTCCGCTGATGTCCCTCAGGCAGAGCCTTTACTGCATCTTTACATCTCACACGACACAACTGCATTGTTTTCTTCTTTTGTTTTTAAGTAGCTTGGGGCTTTTTGACTTCTAAACACAAACTCAGCATAAATATAATAGGTATTATCTGACTGTAAGTTTTTGTGTTCCCTGTTGGGAAACTGCCATCCTCTAGAAAACAGGAATTGAAATGCCTCTCTGAATACACCGTTATTGTATTTACATATATGGTTCAAACCTACCACTTTAACCAGTGTGTGTGTGTGGGGGGGTGTGGATGTGTGTGTGTGTGCCCATGTGTGCACATGGACTCACTCATATGCAGGTGTGCGGTGTCTGTGTCAGTGCAGCACATGCCGGTGTGTGTGGAAGCTAGAGGTTAGTATCAGGATGCTTGCTTCAGTCACTCCTTCACTCCTTAATTGTTTTAGGCAATTTCTGTCCCTGAGCTTGCTTCTGCTGTATTGGCTAGACGAACTGGCCTCTCAGATCTACCTGTCTTTACCTCCCAGTGCTGGGATTACAAACATGAGCTGCCATGCCTGGCTTTTATGTGGATGCTAAGTATCCAAGCTCAGGTCATCATAATCATTCAGCAAGCACTCCAATGCACCAAGGCATTTCCACGGCCCGGTTTAATGATGTTTAAGTGTGCAAATATCAGCATCTCTCTCTCTCTCTCTCTCTCTCTCTCTCTCTCTCTCTCTCTTTCTCTCTCTCTCTCTCTCTCACACACACACGGTTTTATAACCATCACCACAATCAAATTCCAGGACTCATCGTTGTCCCAAGCTGAAGTTCTGGATCCATGCAAAACCTAATTCTCTATTTCTTCTCCTCTCAGTAGACACTGTCCTGCTACATGTCTGTAGATTTGGCTATTCTGGATATCTCATTTACATCCCCACAGAAATCTCTCCCAACCACTGTACAACTCAACTTCACTCTCCCACACCCACATGGCTCTCCCGGCAGTTTTCTGTCTCAGAGTGGTACCTACATCCAGCTGTGTCTACAGCTTAGAGTCAACGCAACATCTGCCTGATCTTTATTCTTCTCTCCAAGTACTAAAACTGCCACTGCCTTCCTCCAGGCTGACATGACTCAAATCAGAATGTTACCTGCCCTCTCCTCATCGCCCCATCTTTCCCTTCCAGGCTCCTCTTCCATCTCCCCTCAGTCCCTGAAGCCTCTTGGCTGCACAAGAAGCATCTTTTTTTTTTCTTTTATCTTTTTCTTCCTTCCTTCCTTCCTTCCTTCCTTCCTTCCTTCCTTCCTTCCTTTCTTTGAGTCAGGGTTTCTCTGTGTATCCTTGGCTGTCTTGGACTCACTTTGTAGATCAGGCTGGCCTCAAGGAAGCATCTTTCTGACAAGCAAGTCTGACTGAGTTTCTTTCTTAAAGCTTTTGTTAGTTTTGTACTGTCTTCTGGGTAAGACTCAGATCCTTCAGTGGGTTCATCCTCCATGACCTTCCTTCTCCATAGCTTCAGCCTCACTGTTAGCCCTTTGCTTCTTTCACCCCAATGCCTCAGATTCCAGCTGGAGTGAATATTTGTTCAATTCATCCCTCCATTGAGCTCTTCTTCCTTGGCACACTAGCTCTACAAATTCACCCTCTTCAGCCACCTCACCTCTTTCTGTTTATCCTTCAGGCTGTCATAATAATTAGGACACACTAATAACTGCCGATGGCTAACAATGAAGACTATCATGATTACTGTGCAGTCATTGTGGTCTCGGTATTTCTCTGAGCTCTTGCATGCAGTGAATTTGCATGATCTTGAGAGTGACCTAATAGAGAGGAAGCAAATTTGATCTATGTTTCATAGATAAGGAGACTTGTGCCATGTACTTGAGTTACATGGTTGTTGCTTTGCAGAACTAAGACTCAGATCTCAGCTATTTTGAACCACCGAATAAACCCTGCCCCACTCAACTTAGATGCTACCTTCTCCAGGATGTCCTCTCTGATTGTATAACTGTGTGTACACTTCTTCCTTAAATCCTATTTACTTTGTAATAAAAAATCATGGAACTCTTCTGTAATTATGTTTTCATTGCTTGCTACAATTTACCTGTTACAATTGTTAAAATGATTAGAAATTCAGTAAGGACATGGGGTCTTGTTTACCTGGTTAGTATCAGGCCCAAGATAAATATTTCCAGGAAATGAATAAAGGAGTGAATAATGCTCTAAGAGTTATAAATGGATTAGAACAAAAATGTCCCTGGAACCACTGAGAAAAATAATCTAGAAATGTCTAGAAAAACAATTGGTTTCTTTTTTCATCAGAGAGAGAAAATAAAGGTTAAAAAAAAGGAATGTGGAGACGATGTGGGAGGAAAAGCATTTAAATTGATGTCAAAGAACTGTTTGTAGAAAGCTGAGAAAATGTACATGTGGGCACCGGCAAGGTGGCTCAGCATTAAGAGCACTTGCTGCTCTTGCTGAGGACCTGGGTTCGGTTCCTAGCACCCACGTTAGCTTGACACTGTCCATAACTCCAATTCCAGGAGAGCCAAAGCCGCCTTCTGGCCTCCTTGGGCACCAGGCATGCAGGACACATAGATATACACATAGGCAAAATACTCATAACACATAAAATCAAATAGTTTTTCTTAATTTAAAAAACAAAACTTTAAAAAGTGCATGTTAAATTTATTAACTCTAGAAACTAAATCCCTTGGTTACAGTCAAAGGAAACATGGACACTTTCAAATGCTTTTTAATTTTGTTTTGCTTTCATGATTAACAGTCTCAGTGTGAAACGCCTCTAAATGATTACTCTTAGCCACAAGTTCTAAAAATGAATACCCAGTAAACCTACCTTTGAAATGCTAGCTTTGGAAAGATGCTTTCTAGTGCCTTCTTGAAAACTAGCCTGCCCTCTGCAGGGTATTTGTAAAGAGCTTGTGTTAAATGGTATCTCCAAGTATAAGCCAATCTGCTCTTTCTCATTAATCAGTGTGGGCATGTCTACCTGGGGAGGCTCAGAGTGGGCTTCTATGTCCTTTTAGTCACCTGTATGAGGTGTTTCTGCCCTACTCTGCTGCTTTGTGTAAATTCGGCTACACACGCTGAGATGGGACAGCTTCCAGAAGCCCTGCCTTCCTGCGGCTCACAGTCTCAAGTGCTGTAGAATTTGTCAGTAAAGACTAGATGTTTTTGTTTTGTTTTGTTTTCCTTTGTTTTGGTGAGGGCTGTGTTGGGGGTGCAGTGTCTCTAAAATAGAAAGGAACAGGGAAACATTTCTAAAACTTTTATTTGAAAACCTCCTATTGTTTCCTTATGTAAACTCCCAGAAACACTAAGAGAGGAACAAATTATCACCACACTAGGAACCTTCTTCTACAGACTTCCTGTAAGTTCCCAAAGGTTGCTCCACTGTGAAAGCCATTCATAGATTATCTTAGGGAATATATAGGCCACAATTTGGTCGCATTTAATGACTTAGAGTGAAATGACGGAGCGGTGTAAGAAGTTGTCACCAAACACACAGTCAAGGCTTTGAAAGAAGGAGAGAAAATTGGGGTAAAAGTGAAGGGTGGATTTGCAGCCCACTGGCATTAGCATGGAGACATGGGTGGGACTATGGGCAGAAGGCTGTGAAGAAAAAGCTCTCTGCTTCCTTTCTCATCAGCCTAACCTTGAGAGTTACCCCAAAGAGAGCAAGAGCCTCTTCAAATGAGGTTTTCACAAATTCTGATCCAGATAGGACATAGCAAGAGGGGCATAGATAGAAGAGCCAGTTAAACATAGATCTTAAATATGAATCAGAGGATAGGCCGGGACTATAGAAAGCAATGTGTACAGAGCACATGGATATGAAATTGCCTGTGTAGCACTGGCAGGATTTGGTGGTATCATGCCTGTAACTCCAAATCCAGGGATCAACATCTTCTTCTGGCCTCAAACATATGTGTGCTTATACAAACACACACACACACACACACACACACACACACTCAGACACACACAATACACTAAACACTTTTTAAAAATAAAGAAAATACCATAATGAAATTCATTCACTTGTATGCTAAACCAAATAGTGAATTTTTAAAAATTACATCTTAAGTATCTTAAAGATCAAACACACCTGATGGAATCATCTTAAAATTCCTCTGTGATGTATAGAAAAGAGTTCAAGGCAATTCCCCTACAGATGGCCACGGTGTCATAACTGCGTCCCGTTTCCCTTCTGTGGTGTTAATGTAAGGACTGAATCGGTTTGTTCAGATTTGATCGCTTTTTAATCTTAATGTTCTGAGTTTAACACTAAAGTGTAGTGAAAGTACAGATGTTCACAGAAATACTGTTTGAGCCTCTGATTCCTCAACAAAACATGAGTTTACACAATTTTTCCTAAAGTTTAACGTGTGCTTTTTTCCCTCTGGTTTTTCCCTGAGTCAATGATAGCAGATGGACTCTGTGCAGTGTGACCCACAGGTGTTTGAAATCAAGGGGAGCGCTGAGGCCTCCCACATTGCATGCCAACAGGGCATCACTCATTCTGGTCCTGAACTCCACAATGGTATTCTTTTCCCGTTGCAGGGACTGAGGCCACTGAGCTGTGAGTACAAAATGGAAAACGTGACCAGGATGGTGGTGTGTGACCTTGGGAACCCGATGGTGACTGGAACAAATGTAAGAGAAAGCCAGCCGTCCTTACTAATCTCCAACTGACTGAATGTTACAGAGGGTTAGGAGAAAACTCGCCAATTAGCACTCAGCAAAGAGCAGCTAAAACAGATTGGGCAGGAAATTGCGGGCATAGAGGGATTTAGCACTTTAACCTACACGGGTGATAATGGCTCGTCAAAAACACAAAAAGGTCTGTGCTGTCACACACTTTCTCTGTAGACTGTGCCATAATATCTTATAACCACAGCAAGTCAGCGATAACACTTGCACCTGGGATTTTTGCCTCTGATTGTTTGTTGTCTTTTAATTCTAATACAGATTTTAAAACTACAGTGTTAAGTTCAAAAGCTTTAAAATAAGCTGTTTAGGAGGGCTCATTATGCAACTCACTTGGTAGGAAGCCTGCCTAGCACACCCAAAGGCCTGGGGTTTGAGCCCCAGTACTTTGTAAACCAACCTGGAGTGGATTCGCAGGCCCTGAATGCCAGCACTCAAGGTTTGGCAGAAAGAGGAGCGTAAATGCAGGATTATTTCCAAGCTACAGTGAGTTCAAGGTCAACTTATGCTGTATGATGCTCTGTCCAAAGTGGCAGGGTGGGGGTGGGGGTAATTTTAAAATATATTAGCAAAGAAAAACTCTTTCCAATATGCCTCCCATATGGCTGTGACAGTGTTTCATGTTAAAAATAGCCATGCTCTGGTTTGTAAATGCTTTATACTAGGTCTGTGTTTGAAAAACAGGGCTAAACAATGCTTCAACAGTAAGAGTGCTTGCTGCTTTCTGGAAGAGGGGTGGGGTTCAGTATCCAGCACCCACATAGCTCACAACCAACCTGTAACTCTAGCTCAAGTGGGTCCAACACCCTCTTCTGAACTCCATGAATACCTACACATATGTGACATGCACAAACACACACGAACAAATCAATCAATAAATATTAAGTAAAATACATTTGAAAACTACAAAGGATATAGAGCAGTGAAAGAAAAATAAACCGATTAATGACCTTGTGAGTGAATAGGAATTGATTCAGAATTCCTCGTAGGCAAGAAGTTATTTTATCCATCTCCAATTTAAGTATTCAAAAGCAACACTTCATAATAAATGTAACAGTAGCTATTTTGAAGTCAGGGAACAAGTTCTAAAAAATGAAAAAGTTACACAATTAAATCACAATAAAGAGAACTTACATAATCCTCTATTTAAAATGAGGTGAATTAAAATCATCAGTGAAATGGCCTGTTTGAAAGGAACATTGTGAAAATTTACAATTGCCTAAGTTTTCATGGAACACTCCCTGGTGGACTCTCAAGAGTGATGGCCCTTGGCCACCCTTTAAAGGAGCCTCTGAGGTCACTGTTGCTCATCCTAGGCATGCCTGAAGCGGATCCAGAGTCTTACATTTCAAAGATGCTGACAGGTCTTCTAGCAGATAAATCTTTTTTCTCTCAGCGTCTCACAAACTTAACTGAGCCTCCGGAAGTTTGTCCTAACCAATAGCGCTTCCCCATTTATGCTTCAGGATAGCATGTGCATTTGCATAGTTGTTTTCTTCCTTTATACTGTTGTCTTGCAGTGATCTTGGGTATTAAAAAAAATGTGGCTAGGTGGAATTGTGTAAGCCTACTTCCTGTATTAAAAAAATAGTAATTGACTTAATAAAGCATTTTAATGCAAGCCCGATGTCTGCAACAGAGTCCTGTTAGTTCCCATGGATTTAGTGTCTTCTGTGTGCCGAGCCGACCACTAGAGAATCACTGCTTTAATGCCACCTTGCCACATTTCACCCATTTTCTAGACAAGGACGCTCTGGCCTGGAAAAGTCAAACACATTGCCTGAAGCCACACTGGTGATGAAAGGCAGAACCAGGATTCCAACAGGCCTGACCACAAATGCCCATGTCCTGCTCTGCAACGCTGTGGAAAGTATTGACTGAAAACTAATGCACACTAGATGGGACATTAAAAGCAAGATATGAAAGACAGAATGGAGCATTTCCCCATTATAACCCCTTTAGTTAGAGACTAGCGATCCTTTCCGTGAGTCTTCAAGGAAACAAATCCAATCACTTGCTATGATATGAATACATTAACTAAAAGACAAGAGGAAACTGGAGTGACGTGAGGGTATCAACATCAGCATCTACGGATACAGTCAGTCACTCCTGTTCAGTATTGACAGTGTTAAATCTGGATGGTGGATGGTCTAAAATCACCAGTAACTACAAGTGGACTAAAAGCTGCCCACCAGGACCGCACTGAGAAAAGGATGAAAATGGCAGTGTGGTCTGGACCATGGAGTGTTTGTGTGACCGGCTATCAATCCATTTTACCAGCAAACACTTTCAAGAAGGCAGGGAAGTAAACTGTTTAGACTCATTTATCTCTGGGCCCCTAGCAGAAGAAACCGAATAGTTCCTTATCTTGCCCTTTGATGCCCTCAAACACATCTAATTTTATTGCTTTCTAGTTTGTTAGAAAACGTGCTGATCTGCCTGCCTCTTAGTTTTGCGCTTTAAAAACACTCTCTGTCCACACAGAGGAGTGAAGTGAAGATGAAAATGCAGTTTTACTATTCAAAAAGTACAAGTAAATAAAATGCCAGGAACATTTATCTCAGGCCCAGTATGTTTTTTAAAAGTTTCCAAGTGACTTCGATTTTAATTTAAACTTGTCAACTCGGCAATCAGAAGTCTGATTTCTAATTTTTAAAACGAAAAGTTGTTTACATATGTAGCTGCCATGATGATGTAAAATAGTTATTACATGCTAATAAGATTTACACCTTGCAAATTTCTCTTAAAAAAAAAAAGCAGTGCAGATGGGTTCAAAGCTTTTTAGTTAACATATGTGACTATTTTTAAGATTTATTTTATTTTATTTATATGTATATGCGAAAGAGTATATATGATATGTGTGGGACTTCTTCCCAAGTGGGCCAGAAGAGAAAGAGCAGCAAGGGCTCTTAACCAACAGGAAATTGTCATGTCTTAGTCTTATCTAGATTGTTCTGTAATGAGGACCAGCCTGAGGGAGCTTTCGTCACAATGTAGGGAGACTTCCATGACTGCACGTGTAAGTAAGGACACACTCTCATTTTTTCAACAATTTTTACCACGCCCTCTTTGGTGTACCACCATATGCCTGCTACTTTGCAAATGTGCCTGATAAGATAGTAAGAAAACACATTATTCCTGTAGAACAGGACCCTTGATATCAGCAACGTAGTAGGCTGGGTGAGAAAAGAATACCAAAGGAGACAGAGGATAAGAAAGGGAAACACGTGCCTTCGGTCGTGACTTCAGCCAATTCATTACTCCTCTTATCCTGAGAAGGTTCCAGAAACACTTGAAGTTGAAAAAGCAAGACAACGTAAAAGCAAAAGTCTTCCAAAGAAGAGAGAAGAAAACGTGAAGAGGTCTAACAACAACAACAAAAAATGGACACATTTGAAAAGTAATTTCTCAGTAGGGCATAAAATATTGCACATGCTTTATTGTAAACATGTGTGTGCTCTCCCGGCCAGGTGTTTGAAACAAGCATGAAACCAAGTGCTGGAGAGGCAGAGACCCAAAGATCCTTGGGGCTCCAGGTTCAGGGAGACAGCCTGTCAAACTAAAACAGAAATAAAGATGAGGTGGACACCCAGTGTCAAACTCTGGTTTACACACACACACACACACACACACGCACACACACATACATACACACACATGTACCTGCACATACACATGCATACTCACAAAAACACACATGCATGCATGTGCACATTCACACACACACACACACACACACACACACACACACACACAAAGATGCTAATGCATTTAGCTCAAACACATCAGGGAAAGACCCAGAAAAGGAGGAGTTAAGATAAATTATTGTAGGTCATTGCTGCTGATTCTTAGTGACATTGGTTTGTTGTTGTTGTTTGGGTTTTGTTTTTGTTCTTTTTGCTGGATTTATTCTCACAGTGCAATAGCTGTGAGTACTGTTCCTGGAATCTGCCTTACAGGGACTAAAATTCCAGCTCTGTCGTTTATTTGCTCAGTACCTGGAGCGGGGCCCTCAGTCGCTCCCCTCCTCAGATAGCTATTGGATTGGAGGATGTCAACATAATCACTACCTCAGACAAGTCGTGGTTCCCTGAGACAAGGCGAACAGGGCGCAGAACAGTGCTTAGATGACCATGTCCCATCATGAATATGTGTAATATTATTGTGTGTATGTTAGTTTTCATTTTCACTTCCTCATTTACACTCCTCATGGGCTTCTTTTTCTCCATTTAAAAAACTATTTTCAGGATACAAAAATACTAAGAGCAGTTTTTACAATTTAGAAAATAAAGGTCAAAGAAATCCACACAACCATAACCCCAATGTAGTCTCTTGGAATATTTTTCTACAATTCACTCCAGTGATCTTAAACATACAGTAGGTTTGCTTGCGTGGACTTTCCAAACTACACCAACATACCTGACACACAGAACTCTGTAACCTTCGTTCTTGGTTGAGCACCATTTATTAGGAGTATCACCCACATTCAGCTATGATCTTGCCAACTACACCAGTGTTCAGAAAACGGAAGCACACTTCTCTAAATCTTATATATTTGTGTTGTTAGAATTTTTACATCAGGGAAGTAACAGCAAAAGAGGGACTAGATGGTGAGAGAGAGAGACAGAGAGAGAGAACAAACAAAATTGTGCATTGAACTGAGTCTTCTGGGCCTTGTGAACTCATTGTGGATTTCTTATCTCGCAGACATCCAGAATCCAGAACAGGAGATAGGCTGTGGGGGTGGTTGGAGTCGGGGTGATCACTAAGGTGGTGCTGTCACACTGTGTTTAAGAGTCGTCCTGTGAATACCTTTGTGTCCCATGTGTGTTATTGTTGTATTTATTTATTTGTTTGCTTTGCTTTTAGCTTTCTTTGGGCCTCCGATTTGCTATTCCCCGTCTTGAGAAAACAAATACGAGCATTAACTTCGATCTCCAAATCAGAAGGTTAGACTTTCAAATGCATACTCTGTTGACATCACTCTCAAATGAAGTGCCTATACTTCAAAGAGTCCCCCAAAATTAGAATCTAGACTTTCACAGCTCCCATTATTTTTAATTATTCTCAATTATTTCAGCTCCTCTGTTATTTTGCATTTTTAAAAAGATTAAATAATATAAGCCAGATTTTTTTTTCTTGAGCAGCTCCTCAGCCCTCTTGATTCACCTCTACTTTTCCTCCTTCCAGAAACAGGGCTGTTTGTTATACCATAAAGGACTGTACCGCTCTATACTATATAGAATAAGGTACTGAACCTACTCTTACTGTGTGCGTTCAGTAGGCAGTAGGCTAACTCTTGGAGCAAAATCTGAACAAAAAAAATTACAACTTGAGATCTCTGAAATGTTTAGGAAGGACTGAGTCTAAGTACGGTCTGAGTGGCCGTTCTGTGGTAGGGAAGGAGACTTAACCCTGTGTTTGAGGGCCTGACCGTCTCTACCAATCCTGAGCCACACAGACAGCTGCACATCTATCCTACGTGTGACCTATGCAAGGATCTGGCATGATCTCACCCCTTTATTGTCTATTCTGTGGCCAGAGATATTTCATGAACAGAAAGCCCTACACAGAAATGAAGCATGCAGGCTGTGATTTCCCAGACATGAACTTCATTTCAATCAATTTAATGATTCTAGATTCATATGAAATGGAATTGAATAGATGTAATATATAATTAATATATAATGTAATCTAAAATATTATATATGAAACATTCCTCATTGAGAAACATAAGTCTTTCTAACAAGATTCCCTGTCAAATGGGCATTTTTTTAAGTCAAGCATTTGAAAAGCTTTAAAAACACTGATATAGATGACACGTGGGTACCTTCCATGATAATTTATATCTTGCCTGGTTTGCAGAACCTTTGCTGTAACCATATGAATGGCTATAAAGTTGGTGTCTATTACTTGGTTCTCAAATACTCTGTAATTCACCTTAATATCTTATAAGATGAAAGGATATTAGGATGTGATTGATTTTATGGTAATTACTCTGTATAGCAGATTACTTTCTTACATCAGTAAAAGGCTTGAGATAAACCTTAGGATGAGACTATAACTAATGAAACCTGGATGTGACCCCACCCCCTTTTCCCATCCCACCCAAAGCTTGGGGCAGCTTTCCAAGTGACTCAGATGTTCCTTTCTCACCTCAATTAACTCCTGTTTGAATGTGTTTTTGTGACGAATCCTAGGACTTTAAATTTTTTACCCACATTAGCAATGGGATAAAAATGGAACTAAGTCTTCTATGATAACTCTTCATTTTACCCAAAGATATTAAAGCAATTCTTCACAACTACCAAAACATGTATTTCCCAAAACATTCATATGGTCTTCAGTATTTCCATTTTTAAAATTCTGAGAGTGCATTACCAAGCTTAAAGAGAGGAAATCTTAAAGCAAAGGCTTCAATACCACCTTAGACAAAGGCCTGAAAGTTCTATTTCTCCTTGTCATTGTTGGTGTCAGTGATCCTTCATAGGCATGAAGCCTTATGTCACTTGGGCAAAGAATTTCTCTTCCAAATATGTAAACACTTCATCTAGAAGGACCATCCAGGGCTAAGATAACAAGCTAGCCCACTGCTTCTTCCTTCTTCCTCTTGATCTTTAGATAAGACAATCTATGAGAACTGTTGCTTACCAAAGAGACAAAAGCACCTAGATAATGTTCTACCTGGACACCCCCAGAATCCACCATGTAGATCATACTTTAAACAATGAATTCGTCAATGAAGAATTGAATTAGGTGGAATTGGAAATGACCACATGGCTAACATTCATCTTCTTCTAAGAACAAGTCATGATCATATTCCATGTCTGCTCAAAACAATTGTAACATTATTTTTAAAATCATAAAAATGCAGAAAAAAAATCTGGGACATCTATCAGAGATCACATTCCCAAAGTATTTGAGAAATAAAAGAATTTGAGAACAGGTTTTTTAAAAATAAAAAACTAAATTATTTGGAAGGTGTTTATCTGTATGCTTTGCTGGCTAACTCCAAAGATGTAAGAATTCACTGAGGTAGCTTTGTATGCAAGTTAAATGTGAAGAAAGAAAGAAAGAAAGAAAGAAAGAAAGAAAGAAAGAAAGAAAGAAAGAAAGAAAGGAAGGAAGGAAGGAAGGAAGGAAGGAAGGAAGGAAGGAAGAAAGGAAGGAAGGAAGGAAGGAAG